GACTCCTCACAGCTCCCTCTCTTCCAAACTCCAGTCACTCTCCTTGCTCAGCTTCCTCCAACAGGATTGCCACCTCCCTAATCCACTCTCCAGTGTGGCCTTGCATCCCCTAGAACTGGGGAGTTCTTCCCTTGCACTTCCCTCTCTCTGCACTCCAAGCAGGAGTGCAGTCCTGGGAATACAGCTGGTTCATACAGCCTAACACAACAATAAGCAATTCAGAACTATTTTATTTGAAGAAATTTTCTTCCACAGTTATAGTAATAAACACAAAATGAATGCTGTTACAGCAAGTGTTTCACACAAGTCATTGCATTTAAATGAATCATAGGATAATGTTTACATTTTTAAGCCACATTAAAATTGAAGGCTCCATACAACCTTTGAACAAACAAAATACCAGTCATAACAAAACATTAACTGTTCATTTTACAGATTATCATTTGCCTTAAAATGACTATTAGATATGAATACATTGTAGGGACAACTAAAGTGCCCCATTCTGAAGGGTTTCTTAAATGACACAATAATGCAAATCACAGTTTCCTTTTCTTTACCAGTAATGAACTATGGCAACCACTTGTAAGAGCACCAGCCACCCCTATAAAAGCTATTTCAGCACTCTTTTGCTCTTCAAAATTGGCCTTTTCTACTTAATCTGTTCCCTGTAGGAATGGGTAAACATGGTTATGTCAAGTATAGGAGATGGCATGTGTCAGCTGGTGTGTGTTTCACATTGTGTTTCTAAAGTTAACAGAAGAAGTAGAAAACGAATACTCATGCGAATGAAACATAAAGATGGAAAACTACCATTTGATAATTATTAAAAACACAAAATAAACTTATTTTTGTGGGGATTATTGTCTGAACATTTTTATTAATGCTTTTCATGAAAGCATCTTCAAGGCATAGCTCTAACTATATATGGTATCAGTTTGCCTTGCTCCAAATCCATACTTCCTGGCTTCTACTCTTCCTCCACTAGATCAAGCTGCTGAGCTCAGAGCTGCACAGGCTGCAGTGCTGATTGGATGTTTCTAACTAAAGCAGATTATATGCAATTTAAATTTTTTCATAAAAATGAAGTATGAAGATTATTAAAAGTAGTGAGAAAAAAGCAGAGTAAAAAAAACTAAAACACAGGATGTGGTATATAAACTTAAGGGAAAAAAAACCAGTTCATTATGGTTGCTATTAAATCACAAAGCAAAGGACAGATTGGGCCAAGACTGAACAGGCTGCCTAACCAGAGCCCAGGGTGCCTGACAAAAACAGGCAGCTTTGAGAATGACACCTATCTAAAACAACTACAGTGAACATTTTTACACAGCTGTAAACTCCTCAAGATCAGGGACTGTGGCTTATTAATAATGCCTGTGTTCCCAGCTCTTAGCACTGTCTTGCACTGACAGACACTCAGAATAAGTATTCCTGGTAACCAGGGAATTGAGGTGAATCAGTTGGCTGCTTTCAAAGCCGTTCTGAGAGATATCTACTGACCTAATTCCTTCACTCCTATGTCTAAGGTGGGGATGGAAAATAGACTTCCTTCCATTATGGTGGATCTGTAAAAGGCTTCTGGAAGTATCGATTTGACATGGATTTCTGGGACCAAATTCTGGCATCGAAGAGAGGAGTGCCACCTTGAAAAAACAGTGGCACCAATGTTATATACTCCCAACTCCTGGTCTAGGAAAAAGGTGTCCACACTCACCCATCTTCCTTTCATTATGCTTCCTCTCAAGTGATCTGCATTAAGCCACTGTTTGTGAAAGGCTAGGTAATCAGGAAGACTAAGGCCCATTCTCTCAATTTACCTCTTTGGCCAAACAGGGTCGTAACTTTACCTAGACATCTGAAAACACAGCATCCAACAAGCAACTGTTCATTGAAAGAACACATTTAATTCAGTCACTCCCTTTTTAGAGAAAGAACTTTGTCCACCTCACTATAGCTTTGATTTGTATCTAAGGCATTTGGAAATACTTGGGTTCTTGGCTTTAAAAAAGAATGGAGGAGTTAAATCTCTTTGGTTTCATGCTTGGTCTTAAGCCTTTGTGTGTTTTTATTGGGATCCATAACTTTCTGAGTACTTTGATGTTATGACTGAGCCCATACTGTAAAAATAATTAACTCTTATGTACTCATCAGAAAACCTTTTAAAGCATGCTAAGAGGAAAGCCTTTCAAATAAGGGTGTTGAAGGTCAGAAAGAATGACAGGAAGGAACAACTTCCTTCTACCAACACACTCTCAGAACTCACTCTTTCATCAGACTGTCCTCTGTACAACAGGTCGCTCCTACTCAGAACCCTCCCAGCCACTTCCTGCCCCACAGTGGGAGGTCAGCACCTCTCAGAAGCATCTCAGAAAAACAGGGATAAAGCATTTACAGAAGGAGGATGGGAAGAAAATAAAGAGGTATCATCAAAGAGTAAAGGACAGTTCTAGAGGATGAGAGGAGATTTTCAAAGAAACACTGCCTTCATCACAGGTAGAGTCTTCACTATAACACTGACACCAAGAAGATAACAGAGCTAAATGAAAACTACCCTTAAAATGTCAACACAGATGACATGCACAGCAGGAAAGATGATGTCATAAAATCTACAGATCTGTTCCTATTACACATTCTACATTTCCCAAGTACTGCTGGTGGCCAAGAATGACACAATCTTGGTACAAGTCTGTGTAGCTTAATGAGCACTATAACAGGCAAGCCCATCTACACACACACATACACACATACACACACACACACACACACACACACAAACCTGGTTTATATAAGAGCTCTGTGGATAAAAGTATACCTTCACTTGGTCCAAGAATCTAATTGTCAACATTAGGAAAAGAGACCCGGAATAATACTGTACTTTATGAGATGTGGTTACTTACAGCTTATCTCCAATCATTTGTCCAATACTAATTCACCTGGTAGTCTCTTCTGAATATAAAGGATTAAGCCTTTAAAAAGTTAAGCTTTTTAAAAAGCTTAACTTAATTATTTAAAAATAATTTTAAAATACAGGTAATGAAATTAGAGGTCACTGGAAATCCAATTCTACAATGAATATAAATTAAATCTATTATTTAAGTACCATTCTTGGAAAGATTTCAGCAGAATTTTTCTTTAAGAAAGCCAGGTGTGGTATATACTTGTAATCCCAGCACTCAGGAATCTGAAGTGGGAGGTTGGTGAATTTGAAGCCAGCCTGGGCTTACCCTGTCTCAAAAGACTTAGTATTTGAGAATAAACAGATATGGCTTAGAAACCCTTAAGCAGTATAATAAGTAGACTACTGGTAAGTAACAACTGATAGAATTATTTGGTAACAAGATATAAAATCCTGTCACCACATCCGAAATAAAGGCTTACTCCTTTTTATCTGATAGAAGTTCTCCTGAAAAGTTGTACAAATAGGATCTTATAACTAGATCTGTCTTTTAAATACACTAGAGGCATGGTTGCAAAGAAACCCTGTAGTGACTCTAATCACCTGAAGAACTGTTGGAGTGGTCAGCTTCCCTACATACCACAGCTAAAGCAACAGGCATAGAGCAGGCACTCAGTAAGTGTGGAATACACAAATCTGCCATAACAATGGTTTCTCTATGGGGCTTTCTTAAAGCCAGGCACAGTGTAACTGAAATGGTTCTGCCTGCTGCTCATGCAAATGACAGAGTGCAGCTTACAGTTTAACTGATTCCATTACAAAATGGCAGATGATTTCAGAAAGTGTTTTTCAATCAAAATAAAATTCCATACATGAGCATGGGGAAGGGTTCTTGTTTTGCTTTTTAGTGCTGGCAATTAAACCTGGCCTTCTTGCATGGTAAGTGTGCCCTAGCACACTTGTTTTTTTAAAGAACACTACCTATGACCAGAAGAAGTTTTTATTCCAGTGACTTGGTGCTGCTTACTGCCATTGTTGGGGAGCTATTTGAGTTCACAGCCAAGGCAAGCTAAACACCTTATTTACATTCAGAAGCACCACCAGAGGCCAGTCCACTTCCGTAAGAACTTTTTACTCTTTAGAGTACAAATGTTTTACAGCCATCCTCACCTAAGCTCACAAAAGCAAAACATGAATTATAAAGCTAAGATTAAATTAAAAAGCATCCTGATTTAAATGTTATAAAGTTTGTTTCTTTCACTTTTAAAACAAGAACAAAGTCAAATGCATTTACTAGAAGTCTGTTAAAGGCAAATTTTTTATTTGGTATTTCCTTTCCTTCCTATTTAAGACTCAATTTAAAAAATATATGTTTATATCCATCCTTTGAATCATACCCTCTCTTTTATACAATACAGAATGCCTAGTAATGCAATATGAACCACATAGATCCATAATCTACCACATCTGAAATAAAGAGGCTTTATCAGTCTCTTTATTCAGTATTCATAGTTACAAAAAAGACTGAAAAAATAGCAGAGAATGTTTTCATATAAGTTTTGGGGAGGACGGAATGCTTGCATAGGCTCACTGTGGAGTTCCATTAGTGTAGATTTCTGAAAAATAGTTTGAAAATGAGATATCTGAACATAGGAATTTATTGGTGTGGTGTGATGGAGGTGCAGTGAGGACAATGCTAATATTGACATTTGTCAAATACATTGAAAACAATAAAGAAATATTTCAAGTGACCTAAATAAAACATTTTAAAATCATCTTTACCAATCATGTCACTTATTGACATGGGCCCCTTCCCAAGCAGTCTCAATGAATCAGTTTTAGTCACTGGCCCAAGAGTATTTTGTTTAGATAAAATCACGGATTTTCTCCCATAATTTAAAAATAATTTAAAAAAATAATAAAGTTGGTCTCTTTTTTCCACAAGTTTTCAAGTAATTAGTTCAGGTAAGCTTATTTACAGCTCCTACTAGTATACATGTGGCCTACTTTAACCTACTTTTTCTCTTTAGAAAGCAGTCTCCCTTGAAGTAGAATACCACATTTGTTTTTTTTTTTTTTTTGTCTTGAACCAGGTTTCTTTTAACTATTAAGTCAATTCATCATATTTCTGCTTTATTGGGCAGATAAAGGGAGCAAACCAGCAAGTTGTGTCCAAAGGCTGGGAAACGCCGAAATGCTTCCCAGCTATCTGAAAAGATGTTGTACTTGAGGAAAACTCGATGTTCCAAGCTGGTTGACAGGGTAACGTCTCTACTCATGATGTAGATACCATCATTATGGAGTGCACAAGTCAAGTTCAGGCCCGATTTGGACGTGTTCTCCTTGAGGTAGAGCCACTGCCGGGTGATGGTATTGTAGGACTGCACAGTAAGCATGTCCTCACTTTGGCTGCTCCTCCGGTTAGGCCCCAGTTCGTGGAGACACCCCCCAACGATGTAGATGGTCTCCTCCACAGACACCATCTGCTGCTTGCGAATATGCACATCACAGGTTTCAAAGAGCGTCCACATGTCAGAAGAGGGGCAGTACTGCAAGATGTTCATGTTTCGGTCTGAAACAGAAAAAAGCCAAATGATTGCAGCGCCACCAGCAATTCTCACGGACCACCTAAGCTGTACATCAACATCTTCCCCTACTTGTACAATATGGTCACAAGGCTGTAAAACTCTTTTAGGAAAGCAGAGGTTGGAACAATAGTTTTCCAAATGGCTGGGGAAAGGTACATTTGGATTCACCCCCATCTACCTCCCATTCAGGCATGCGCCCTGCTTGGTAGCATCTTAGCATCATTTAGCCAGGGAAATGAACAGCTTTATTTAAATACAGGCCCTTCCCCTGGTATCTTCACACTTTGAATCACAAGATCAATGTAAAACGAATAAAAGCCTCTGAACACTCATTAACAGCTGCAGAATGACTGACTACTTAGAAAATAGGCTGAACCCTAAGATGATCTATTCTTGGCAGCTGGTCCTTAGAAACATGACAGGTAACAAAGCCAAGTCTCCACAGATTGGCTAGAGAAAAGGACTTAAAGTTTTAGAAGTGAGGTATAAGAAATCTCACCTCTTGCTCTCTAACAAGCCAGGCTAGACTCACTTGACAATTGTTTCCCAGCAGTAATGCTGGAGACACACTAACAAAGATCAACCTTCTCCCCCTGCTCACTTCCCAAGACATGGTTAGTTGTTGTGGAAAAAATCAAGGACTACTCTGACATTATTTCCCATTAATAGCTATTTTCTTTAAGAAAAAATGTAGCCGCCTCCCTTTTTCAAAAAATAAATGCTTGTGAAATTCAGAATGCTTGTGAAATTTCAGAATATCAGACAAAGCTTTTTAAATTGTTTTTTTTTTCTCCTATAGGAAATAATAAGTGGAATATTTTTAGCTTCAGTAGGCAAAAAAAAAAAATGTTCTGAGTTATCAGGAAGAGTGAACTTTCTGTTTATTATTATTAAACATTATTAAACCAGCAATAAAAACTATCAGTGGAGGAAACAACTCAGCTAGGGAACTGACACACTATGAAAGCATACATTTCACTGGTAAGAGAAGACAGATCATTTTCTTCAGTGTTGGCCTCCTCCTTCAGTTAGAAGGACCCACCCACAGTAAGCAGGGCTTAAGGAGCTCCATAGCCTATATGCTATACACAGTCCACACTAAAGTACCTCCTAGCAGGGCATGGAGGAGACCAAGTCCTATGTGTGCACATGTCGCTGGACCTACAGAAATTTCAAAATTGTTACACTTAAGGAAACTGTCCTGATTTCCATCCTCATTAATACTCCTGCATATTTGTTTTTCCTATAGCCCTTGTGATAAAGTTCATCCCAGGAGCCTTTGGCTGCTAATCTATCAGAAGTGCTCCTGACTTTGTAACCTGACTCCCCACTGCAGGAATAAAAGATTCATTCTAGTGATGCTCCAAATTCCCACACATTTCTCAATTCCAGGCCTGAAGGTTTCTCTAGGTCCTCTGCAAATGTTCTCTCTCCTCACTCAGCAAGGACCCAGCCTAAGAGGAGATGGTTTGAGTTGGTGGGAAGATCTTCTAGTTTTTACATTTTTGTGTGTTGGGGGATGGGGCTTTGCACTTGCAAAGCAGGCACCCTACTACTTGTGCCATACCTCCATTTTCCTCTGGTTATTTTGAAGATAGGGTCTTGCGAATTATTTGCCCAGGCTGGCCTTGAACCAAGGCCCTCATGATCTCAACCTCCCAAGTAGCTAGGATTACAGGCATGAACCACCAGCACCCAGCTCTAGTTTTTGCATTTAAAATTGATTCTAATGGTTCATAAATCATCCTTCTGTCCTTTATGGTAACTATAACATTTTATTGAATTTTTCTTGATTTCTTTAGTGCTTGGCAAAGAACTGAAATAATCAAAAAGCAATCATAAAGGTAATGCACTATTATTTACTGAATTTTAAAAGTCTCACTTAAGTCAGTGAGACAAGACTCCAACTTCAAGTCCTGACGGTAGTGTTGGGGGCAGCGACAGGGTGGGAGGGTTAGGTGTGTGTGTGGTTTGCTTTATTCATAACAATTAGGATGACTTGTTTGAAACACAGGAAACTATTAAGAAGTGCTGGGAAAAGTCCAACAGAGGAGGAATGGGGGCTGCAGAGGACAAGTAGCTGTCCTGCCCTCTAGTCTTAGAAGACAAATTTTCAACCCTTACACAAACACTCATCCATCCACATTGCCTAACCATCCCATCATGGTCTTTGGCACAGGGAATCCAGAACACAAATCACAGTGGGTGGCCCAAGTGAAGAAAGCACACTAGTGGTGGCTTGTAAAGCTCAAAACTTACAAGAAGAGTTTTCCAGGTCAAACCTAAAGAACATTTGCTCAGCCGGGGTCGTGGAAAACCTAGCAAATCTACCAGCAGAGCACTCCAGCTTATAGTGCTGCCAGCAGAGCTCAGTTTCCCTTGGCTAGAAGAGAAGTCAAAGGATGTATGTGCATTATGTTAGGCCACAGGATGCCTTCTGCGTCACCCCATCTAGGGAGGAATCAGAATCCTTAGAAATGTCTACAGGTAAATAAGATAGCTAATTACTTTCCTAGGAGAAAAGAGACAGGGAGACAAAGAGACCTAGGAGTTTGGGGGTTGCAGGAAGACTATGGTTGTCTAGGCATACAAAGTTGATCAAAGTTGATTAGTTACCTAAGCACTAATGCTGAAGATAAAAGAAGCCTGCTAAAGCTATTTTCTCAATTATTTGCAAAGAAGAGACTGGCAATTATCTTTAGTGAAGGATCACTACAGAAAACTTCAGGAATAACTCCACAAGTGATGGAAACTTGGACTAGGAAAAGCAGCTCACTGCTTCCAGTGCTCTCACTCTTTTTTGTCACTGCTTCTATTTAAATATACACAACACCTGCAGTGGGTTGATGGTGACCTCCCCAACAACATATTTACTTCCTAATTCTCAGAACCTATGAATGTGACGTTATTTGGAAAAGGGTCTGTACAGATATAATTAAGGATCTTAAGAAAAGATCAATCTGGATTATGCAGGTGTGCCCTAAATACAATGGCGGGGTCCTTTTAAGAGACAGAAGAGGAGAAGACACACAGAGGAGAGAGCCATGTGAAGACAGAGGCACTGTGCAGCCACCAGCCAAGGAATACAAGAGCTTGAAGAGGAAGGAAGCTTCCCCCAGGACCTTCAGAAAGAGCAGGACCTTGCTGACACCCTGATTTCTATCTTTTGGTCTCCAGAACTGTGAGAAAATACATTTCTGTTGTTTTAGGCATGAAGTTTGTGCCAATTTGTTATGGCAGCCACAGGAAGCAACCAGTTAGTGGTATGCTAAGAAGTACTCATCAAAATCTTTTGCTGCCACTTAAAAAGTAAATGAAATGTTCATACAATACTTTATATTTAATTTCTATCTCTAACACAACCCCCTAAACAAGACAAACTTGAATATGGTAAAAAGAATTTGTGTCATCTATTTGAATACTATGCGGATTTTTGCCCTAGGTCACTTTCAACCTAGGGTCTTTTTTATACATGTTATTAACCAGGACTGGAGAACTCTGTCTTACCCATATTGTTCCACAAAGGAATGTTAGTTATCTCACTATGTGAAGTATAATGGTAACTCTACTACTTCAGGGTGGCTAAAAGTCCTAAGAGTCCAGTTACACTTTTCCTCTAAAGACTGGGCTCTATAGAGTCAGATAGACCAAATGCAAAATTCCCTTGGCCAAGACAAAACCTGGAGAAAAGTGCTTTGAGAAAGGGTGGGCAGGAGATGCACATCTCTTCTTGGCTGTCCAGCAACTGTCACTGTCACCACAAGCATGCCCTACCAAGTACGACAGTGTAAAATTAAAGAACCTTTTTATTTCCAATTTACTAACTATAAAACACTCACTACAAAAGGTAACAAGCACACAATTTAATACATAGTGCAACCACTAGTCAAGAAAGAATTTGTTTGCATTCATGTTTGTGTAACTCCTCTGACATGTGAACAATGCCGTAGAGCTGGGTTTCTGGAACCTGTATCCTTTTATGCTCACAGAGTGACAAAATGGAAGCAAAGATCTGCAAGGAAGTTCTGGTCCTATAATGCTGGATGGGGCTGACAATGTGTGTTTGGGAGAAGGATACTCAGATAGGCTCCTCTCCCAACTCCTTGCTACCTCAGAGAGCAGCTGTGACCTGAGCAGCCCCCACAAAGCAGATCCAGCCAGGTCACCATGGCTGAATACAAAAAAACACATATTTTCTTCATAGCTGCCCCTACTCCATTCAACTGATTTTCATACTCACATAAGATCATCAAAAACCCGTCATACAGGACCCTTCCTTCCAGATGTGTGAACGTATAGAATTTAAATACCACACTTGGCATACCATTTCCCCTAGTCCCTCCTGACCTGCCCAGGCCATTGAAGCTAATATATATGATGACTTACTTCATCCTTCACTTACCTCTGGTAGTATATCCTCCAATGACATAAACTTTCCCCTTACACTCACATGCAGAGAACTCAGCGAGAGGATTTGGTAAGGGTGCCACAAAATTCCACACGTCTTGCTCAGGATTGTAACATTCAACATTAGAAACGGCCTGCCCACCAATGGCAAACAGTTTTGAATTAACAGCCACAAGTTTGAAGTTAGACCTGGAAGAGAGACACAAAGGCTCATGATCATGAAGAAGTATGATGAAGGCATACTACTAACACAGTGTGGAGTGTGTTGGAGAGCTGAAGAAAATCAGCTCTTCAAGTAGGGGGCCGTTCTGCCTGAGGACAGAGGACTGAAAGGATGGCTCCTCAAATTTTACTTTTGTCCCCAAGGTTCCACAGGAATGGCACACCGTCCTGACATTAGCAACTGCAGATAACAGTTCAATACAACAAGTACTAATCTTTCTGGTCTTAGGCCAGGAACCTATGACAGTTTGTATACACAAACACAAACAGCCTTCTATTACCTACAAGTTTCACATCCATAGGTTCTGCCAACAACTGTGGATCAAAAATATTCAGAAAAATAATTGCATCTGTGCAGACTTTTTATCTTTATTCCCTAAACACTACAGTTTCATAACTATTTACATAGCATATACATTGTATCAGATATGACAAGTAACCTAGAGATGACTTAAAGGATAGGGATGACAGGGTTGTGTGCAAATGCATCCAGAGGTTTGGGTATTGGCAGGGGTTCTGGAACCAATCCCCCATGGGTATTTGGGGGATGACTAGACATTCCTTCTAGGGCATGTAGGGGAGAAAAGCTTGCTTGTCTTTTCTTTCCTCAGAATGGTTAGTTCATTCTTCCTATCAAGTGGGAAGGCTCTATCCTCCGTACACACCAGTGCCAATAGGCAGGTGCAAAGGGTAGTGGAAGAGACCCTCTTACCACAGGGGGGACCTGCATAGTGACAACTGCAGGTCACTGGCCCTCGCTGCTCCACTGGAGGACATTTTATATATTGCTTTATAACATATAAATGGGGAAAGGTAGGCACTGATCTAATTTAAAATATTCTGATCCAGTGCTTTTAGGGCATTTATAAATGTTAACAAATACTTATGTCAACAAATACACATTTATTATAATATTGAATAATTTTAAAAAGAAAAGCATACTGGTGTCAAATGCCATATTCAGTATAGAATTCAACTTTAGTCATCAGCTTCAGATACTAGATAAGCCTCATGACTTTTAAATTGAAAAGATAAAGTTAATTTGTTTCAATGTAGCATATAGGGATTAATCAATCCTTTCAAAGCCAAGGATAAAGATTGGCAACATTGGGTCCATAAGCAGTGATATGTGCAACAGTCACAAGCTTACAAAAGTGTGAGCAGTAGCATGGTACAACAAAAAAAGGCCTGAGCACAAATTGGAAGACCCTGGTTCTAGCCCCAGTTCTGCTGATAACCAGGTGTCTGAACCTGGTCCAATCACTTCTCAAATTCATCTCTAAAATGGAGACAATCTCCATCACAAGGTGTTTGTGAGGATTAAATCAAGTAGTTTGCCAGAAAGCACTGCACAAAGATAAGATATTATTATAATTCATCAGCTTTCTATCTTGTGAAACACAGATGCTAGGCCAAGTAAATTTTGAGGCCAAGGATTTCATCAAAAATAACAATACCGTAGAAAAGAATGGGGATAGAAGCTACAAATAAAAACAATAAAAGTTATGTAAGCATGTATATCAGGAAGCAGCAGTGGGTGAGCAGCTCAGGCTTGGCCTCCTGGTAGGTATTCAATAACCACAGATGCATTAAAAGATTTAAAAAAATCTGTTAACAATAATCACCTACTAAAAAGTTAAAGTTTTTTTAAAGGTGCTATGATAGTTATATTTAAATGTGTTTTTGCTTAGTTTTGTTTTTCAAATCAAAGTGAACAGAGCACTCTTCATGGAGAACTTCACAATGTCCATTAAATCCAGCCACCTATCCCATCTTTTCATGCCAACAGACTTCACCAACAGTTCCTGGGGGGGCCTGATTCATGTTGCTTACCTTCCTTGCTGCCAATGGTCCTTAAAATCTGACCACTGATGCCCCCAGTGTGTGTGTAAATTTGGGGAACCAGAGGAAATAAAGCTTGTAAATAAGCACTAAATTTTACCAGCTCTCAACTTGGTTTTGCTCCCCAAGGTATACAGATAGCAAATTTTGTAAAGTCAAAACAGTTTCTACTGTTCATCTAGCATAATCATTTGTCCTAACCAAACAGGTAAAGGGTTTCTTTTTGAGAATGAATGAATAGGCAGTTAAAAGTAAACAATTCCATTTCACAGGACCCCAACATGCTCAAATGTTTAATCAAGAGAAACACTTTATTAATGCTGGGTTTGTTTTAAGATAAAATTGCCACATTAAAAAAAAAAGACTATTTACTAAATTTAGCATCATACAGCTAAGGTCTCTAACTCCAGGCTTGCATGGTGAAATCTGAGCTCCACTGGGTGACCTGGACAAATTACCGAATACCAGTTTATCTGTACTTTCTTTTGCCCATCTTTGAAGGGGGGACGAGAAGTGAGGACAGTATCTGGAATGCAATGAGTGTGAAAAAAAGAAAAAACCTGCAAAAAGAAGCCGTTGGTGCTTTAGGGAAGCTTTTCATGTGTCCTAAGCCTGAGTTTATCAACCCTAAGGCGGTCAGTGTCTCCTTCATCAACTGTAGTAGTCACTGGAACTCTGCACAAAGCAGCAAATTCTCACCACTTAGCACCTCGCTTCCAACTTCCTCAAAATAACTCACTCTTTGCCTGCTGAATGGTAAGGATGTGTATGTGAGCCATCAATCACTTAATAATTAAAATGATCTCTACAGTGCTTTGTTTTGTTTTGTTTGTTTGGTGATACTGAACTTAGGGCCTCTGCTTGCTAGGCAGGTGCTCTACCACTTAAGCTATACTGTATTCAGGAGGTAAAAAGAAATTTTAATAAAATAACAAATGATTTGGTTTCTCTTACAAAAAGACAAATGCAAGTGAGAAAAATTAAACAAAGCAACAATGTGATTTTGACTTTACTTTTAAGAAAAATGAAGCTCTCATCTGAGTATAATGGTAGTCACCTGTAATCCCAGCCCTCAGGAGTCTGAGGCAGTAGGATCATCGAGGCCAGCCTGGGCTATATCGCAAGACCCTATTTCAAAAACAAAAGAACACATACTGAACAGGAGGACACAACAGCTCCATTTTCAGAGTAGAAGTGTGGGCTGTGTGGAACCCTGAAGATGACTTAGGAAACGGGGGCCATGAATGATCTGAATACTGCAGTGCAGCCAGTTCCCACAAGCTACTGCTAAAGTGAAGCAAGATAGCAATTCTGTGGTCCCACAAGCTTTGACACGTGAAGACTTACATCCTGGTGACACCTGAGATCAAATCTATGTTCACACAATAAGGGATGTTGCACACCTGGACTTCAAAAGTCATCTCAAGGAGTGCTGGATATTGTCATTTTCAAGCACGTGGGGAATGACGCTAAACTTTTCTTCCCTACTGCACATCAAATAGCACCATGCTCTCCGGGGTGCACAAGGCTGTATAAAATATCTGCATACTGGATTCCTGCACTTTAGGATTCTGTTACCTTAACATTTTGGATTATTGCAGGGTTCAGTCCCAGGGGAAAGTGGCCATTCAGCATTTGACCCCCTTTCAAAGTAAAAGTCAGTCAGTACTGAACACACCCCAAAGGCAGGCCATGTGGAGAGGGAATCTAGGCAGATGTGAAATGCCATGTCATCAGATGCCAAACCCATCTTTCTTACTCAAAGCTCCAAGTTTCTTCCAGTGTAGAATCTGAACTGGATGCATTATCCAGGAACCATCCCACTCTAGGTCTTATTTTCACTTGTCTCATTGTCTAAACTCAATTGTAATTTCCCTCAAGGCAGGAACTATATCAACTGTTTCTGTATATCCAGTGGTTACTAGAAAAATGATGTCGTGGCAAGGCATGGCAGCTCCCATCTGTGATCCCAGCTATTTGGGAGGTGGACATCAGGAGGATTGTGTCCAGCCAGCCCAGGCAAAAAGTTAATGAGATCACAGCTCCACAAAACAAGCCAGGCATGCTAGTACACACCTGTGGTCCCAGCTACACAGAAGATATAACTAACAGGATCATGGTCCATGGCTGTTCCACAAAAACTCAAGACTCTATCTCAAAAATAACTAAACAACAACAACAACAAAAAAAACAAACAGTGTGGGAGGAGGGTGTGGCTCAAGTGGTAGAGCACCTACCTAGCAAGTACCAGGCCCTGAGTTCAAATGCCAGTATTGCCCAAAAAAAAAAAAAAAGTGAAGAAAAAGAATGGCAAAACTGAGACACGAATGCTATTTAAAAAGCAACACAATAAGCCAGGCATAGTGGTGCACATCTGTAATCCCAGCACTCAGGAGACTGAGATAGGAGGACCAAGAGTTCAAAGCCAACCTCAAAAAAGCAAACAAAAATAGCAGTATAGTACTGCAAAAACTACCACTCTTTATTTTTTGGAGGAAACTACATGCCAAAACTTGCAAACAACTTAAATGGCTACAATTATCTAATAGATACTTATCACACAGCCTTGAGCAATTTGCGTTGCTTTTCTGCTCCTCACTTCCTGCTTCTGTAAGATGAGAACCTGCCTAACACAGTCCTTGTGAAGAAGTGAGGTATGTGCAAAGCAGCCTCCACTGCAGTTAAGTGTTCAACTAAATGCTATTGTTATTGTTTCAGCTACTCTACTGATAGTATAAGGTGAAAGTGTTCACAATAATGTTACATTTTATATAATATTATACATTCACTCTATCACAGTAATGTAAAAAACAAAGGCGCCTATTATTCATTGCATACCATGTTCATAGTAGCAATGTAGTGAGCACTGGGTAGTCACAGCTCCTGACGAGAAGGGACAGACACAACATAAGCACTTTGACTTCAAGGTAGGAAGTCATGAGATGCTAGAGGAACATGGGGTCAGGACATTTAGCCCAATTGAGGATTCAGGAAGGAACTTCTAATTCGGATGAGGTCAGACCTGAGTCCAAGAATGAAGGCAATAAAGAAGGGTATAAACTCCACCACAGCATCAATAACAGATTAGAAAGTATAATGGGGAAAGTATCTATGGAGAAATTACA